GGGGGGCGGTCTCTAGGCTGCCACTCAGGACTCTCTGGGCCTCCTGTTAGGCAGTCGCTTGGATTAGCAGTGCCAGGTTGGCTTTTAAAGACTGGACACCTGTGGAGAAGAGCAGGCCATGCGCAGGGCCTTTGCACTTCTGTCCTTGTCACAGAACAGCCGGCAGTGACTGAGCGCCTGTTGTGCATGGCATATGCTTTATGTGATTTCACTCTCCCATCTCCTGGGGGAACGGGTAGTATTTCTGAAGGCCCATCTCACTGAAGAAACCGAGCCTTGCAGAGATTACTCCAGCATGTCCAACCGAGGGCCGGCGTCTTTCCATCCATAATTATGCAGGGAGCATTGTGCATGCCGAGTGCTTATGGGCCTGGTTGGGGAGGCTCCGACACGGTGGATGTTGGCCATGGCTGTGTCATGTGGGTTGATTCTAAATTCTTCAGCTCCTCAAGGACTATGTCAGTGTCTTAATCTATTTTAATTTTTTGCAGGCATTAACTAACTACCTTCTTTGCATCAAACACTGTGCTAGACTTTGAGCAGCTTTTGTGTTTGCTCCTTCCACAGTAGCATTGCCACCTGTCTCACGGTGGAGTGAAGGAAAGGCCCTTGGCCCGAGGTCACTCCGGCAGCAGCTGCAGAGCCTGTTGGAGCCCGCGTGTGCCTCTCTGTCCACCCCATGGCCCCGAGCGCTGCGCTGGCCTTTCCTCCGCTGCTCACTGCTACCTGTCTGACAGACAGACTCGTTTTCCAGAACAGCCAGGACAGTGCCGACCTGATCACCACCTGGCACAGTCCCCTGTGCACCCGAAATGTCCACTGGCTAGTAACTGTCCACTCACTACATCACCCTTCACAGCAGTGCGCTGGGATGGCTAACATTCATTCCCGTCTTTCAGACCCAAAAGGTCGAAGCCTCAAAGAAGCTGCACAGTTGTCAAAGGTTCTGTCACGAGGAAGTGGCAGGGCTGGGGTTCAAGTTCCATTTTTGTCTGCTCCAAAAGTCAGTGCTTTTACGGTCACAGCACAGGACTAAATACATGGCAGGTGCCCCAAGGACTTCCCATTCACCTGAGTTTGTGCTATTGGCTTTTCCATTTGCACAAGTCCTGAGGTCATGAGAACGCAGGGCATGATCCTGACCCAGCCCCGCCATGTGCAGCCTGGACACAGTGCCTCGGTCATAGAAGGCACTCAACGACCCCTCCTCCGTGTCCTCCTAGGTCTCTGAGGTACTGTGACCTGCGTCTGATCAACTCCTCCTGCTTGGTGAGGACGGCCTTGGAGCAGGAGCTGGGCCTGGCCGCCTACTTTGTGAGCAGCGAGGCTCCCTTGGAGAAGGGTGCTCGGAACGAGGCCTTGGAGAGTGACGCGGAGAAGCTGAGCAGCACAGACAACGAGGACGAGGAGCTGGGGACAGAAGGTGGGGGGCCTCGGCCCTGCTGTCTGGCCCACACCGCTTCAGTCGCTTCTGATCTCTGAGGCCACCAGCACTCACAGACAAGGTCCTGGAGAGCTAGCTAGAGGAGTCTGTGACGAAGGAGGTGGCAGAGCCCTCCCTGAGTGCGGGCTTCACTTTTCCCCCCTTTTCTTTTTTTTTTTTTTTTTTTGGTGGTATGAAAAGGTAGAAATCCCTGTAGGTTCTCCTAGCTCTAGAATTCTTAGAGAACAGGAAGGAAAACGTTGAGATTTCTTAGGGCTCGTGCCTCTCAGAGTTGATGGGTTCCTGACTCACTTGCTTACTCTGTGTAGGTGAATCAGCAGTGTGTCTTCCAGCCACGGAGACTTAAGAAAACAGGCCAGTTTCATCTGCAGATTTTTTTTTTAATTTACTTTTTGGATGTTTTTGCCTCAAGGTATGTGCGCTTGCCAGAGAGAGCAGCAGACAGACACAGTGAGAGGAAAAGTGAGAAATCACTCCCTGGGGTGGGGGGAAGGCCACACTGCAATCCTTTCCCCTTCCTTCTCCTCCTGGAATCTTGGGCATGCACACACATGCACCCAGCATGATTTTCAAGCCACCGAGTCCAGGACTCGAACTGTGGTCAGCCATGTGGGAGTCCAGTGATGTAACCGTTGTGCCATCTGCTGGCCCCTCACTTGCAGATTTTTTTTTCTTTATTCATTCATTTATTTATTTTAATTTGAGCAGAGACAGAGAGACAGGTCTAGGATTTGAACTGTGGTCACCATGTGGGAGTGTCCAGTGCCTTAACCCACCATGCCACCTGCTGGCCCCCATCATTTGCAGATTCTTAAAATCTGATGCCACATCTCTATTCTAAAGCTCGTTTCACGAGAGGCGGGCACCCTCCGCAGGGCCTTAACACTTTGATCCAACCTTAGCTTCAGCCAGCCCAGATCATGGCACCTGCAGTGCCCCGTGTGTATAACTGTCTTGGCACAAACCCAGAACCTTCTTGGTGGTCTGGTGGTGTCACCGCTGGCAGCCCAGGTACCATGTTCTCAGCAGGACACACAAAGCAATGCAAGGCTGTGGCGTGTGGGGAGTGGAAGAGAGGCACGAGGAGTCACAGCTGGGCCCGCAGTCTCTCCCTCTGCCCACTGACGATGACATGCTGTGTGATCAATTAGCTCCGACTGTCATCTGTAAAGTGGAGGGCATTGACACCCGCCCTGTGGACTTCCCTGGTGCTGTAGTATTTCTCAGATGTTACATGCTGCCATTCCTGTTTCCCCTGCCATGGCCCTACGCTCCCTGGCCTTTCCTGACCAACCTCCTTAGAGTCAGTGTATGCCCCTCTACTCCCCAGTCCTCCCTGCCCCCGTGCCCACCCTGGGCACTTGAGCAAGCTGAAACCCCAGCAGTGGCCTGACTGCTCTGTCCTCACCTCTGGGACACACAGCTGCCCTCCCCTCCACTTGGGGCCCTCTCTCTCCTGCTTTGCCTGGAAACCCCAGCAGCCCTGAGGGGTCAGATACCGCCCCTTTCAGACGTCCTCTGCCCCTGCCCTTGGGGTCCCAGTGCCCGTATCTCACACCGCGTCCCTGCCGCACCATGTGGGCTCCTGTCCCCTCCTTGGTGCCGGTCAGAGGGAGCCTGGAACCCAGCAGATGGGTGAGCGGATGAGCGGGGACAGAGGACACGGGGGAACACACTTCATAAGCTCTAAGGAACTGGGCGATGCAGCAGATGGTCAGGGTGCACATTTTCAGTGTGTGTTTCAAAATAGGCTCCAACTCAGAGAAGAGAAGCCCGGTGAAGCGGGAGAGGTCCTGTTCCCACGACTCGGCGTCCTCGTCCCTCTCCTCCAAAGCGTCTGGTAAGACTTTCCAAGTGGGAACGACCAGACAGCTGGCCTGTTCAAGTGTCAGAGGATGAGGGATGCACTCGGGCCATTTGTTGACACTGTCTAATCAGAACCAGCAAGAGAAGGACATCTGAGCTTTCTAGACAGCCAGACTGGGGTCTGTGGTCCGCAGACTGTGGGCACAGCAGAGGGCTGAACTGCCCTGTGCTCGGAAGACTGGCCTCTGCCCCTCCCTGTGACCTGGGCCATGGTAGGCAAGGGTCCCTGGGTGCTGTCCTGCAGCTGTTTGGGAAGTCCCTGTGTCCCTGGGGAGAAGCTGAGAGGAGCTGAGGGGAGAGGGTACCTGCCCAGGGAGGTAGACAGGAAGGACTGGGAGGGGGAGAAGCCACAGGTGACAGCAGACTTCACCCCTGGAGTCCAGAGCCGCTCTTGGAGCGGGGGATGGGGATACCATGCTTGGTGTGGCCTCTGCCCTAGGGATCCCTTGGTCTCTGAGAGCAGTTAGGACCGTCCTCTGTGAATCCATGTCACTGTCTTTCCACCCAGTGCCTTTAGAGAGAGCCAACTCTGTATCCGAACCTGGCGTAGGAAGGTCGACCTTAAGGGGTTCGTTCCCAGCAGAGGCCGGCTCCGCAGCAGGGGCTGCCCGTCTTTCATACCCTCCCTAACACCCAGGGGGAGTTGGGCTAGTGGGTGAAGGAGGGATTGCTCCGTCTCAGGCGGAGGGCAGGTAGATTCAGGGGTAGGCCCTGGTCAGAGAGCAAGCAGCCCTTGGTGGGCCTTGGAGAAGAGGGTATTTCCAGCCAGGAGGAATTTCCAGGTGACGAGGCTCCAGGGCCTGAGTGTGCAGAGGTCGGAGGTTCCAGCAGGAGGTGGAAGGGGGTCGCTGCAGCGGGAGGGGCGAGGAGAGATGCGGGGCGGCCTCCGCAGGAGAGCAGCTGCAGGCTGGGCCCTGTCTACACCGATGGAGGCCTCCCC